TGAAGTGTGGTGAAGGATGAATGACGTAGGTGTTGTGATGTAGCATCAGGCTACTATGACTTTCTGACAACGTCTCAGAAAGGGGATCATCTGCTTCCGGGCCATGGGTTTCTGAACTGGTGGAAAGCAAAACCATAGATAAGGGGGGACTATTGCATTTCCTATGGCCCCACAATAGCCCTGTGGCCAGGTGCTCAGGTACCCACTTAGCTCTTCCAGTCTCTGTTTGAGGACCACAGCCGGGACTGACTCCAGTCCCAGTGATCTGACCCCAACTTCAGTGCTATTATCTCCTAGCAGAATGTTTCTCTTGGTGAACAGTACTGAATCCCTCCTAAGCCCTTGCAGGCACAAAAGAATTTGCTCACTTTTGATCAGAACCCATATCCTGGGAAACTCCTCCTCCTCACTTTTAAAGACCCACATGAAACATAACATTCTCAGTGAAGCTTGTCCTACCTCCCCCTAGGCAGGAGGAGTTCCATCTTCCTCTATGATCCTAGAGCTGCTGGTACATATAATAATCATATTAATAAGGATAATAGGAGTAATAATAGTAGTAAAAAGGTTTAAGTTACCATTTGCTGAGCGTATCTATGAGCCAGGTGTCATGTTAAGTGCTTTGCATGCATTATTTAATGCTCAGAAGAACCCTATGGGGAGACACTATTATTATCCTCAGTTTATAGATTACATGAATTAGGCGTTAAGTTTGGCTGCAGGTAGAAAACTGTTCACAGTGGCTTAACCGAACAGGAACTTATTTTGCTCAAATAACAATAAATTAGAGGTAGATGGGCTAAGGCTGCTATGGTGGCCCCATAATACCATTCTTAGCATGTGGCTTTTGTCACTGTGGAGACAACGCATCTGCTGTTTTCCAATCTGTGTTCCAGGCAGGAGGAAGGGTAAACAGCCAAGGATGAAGGGCAAAGAGCCTCTTCTTCCTGGAGTTTTGTCTTATTGGTTGGGAAAGGACACCATCCCTTACCTACCTCTTGCTGGCCAGAACTGTGTTATGTGGCCACCCTTAGCTACCAGGGAGCCCGAGAATTCTACATTTCTTTTTTTCTTTTTAAAGCTGGGCAGGTTTCTGCTCTGAACACAGCTGGGGTTGTGCTAATAAGGAGGAAGTGGAGGATGGATATTGGATTAGAAACTACCCATACTTGTCACACAAGTGAAGAAAGTTGGCATCAGAGATGCTCAGGGTCTTGTCCAAGGTCAGATATGTGGCCGAGGCAGATTCCAACCCAGAGACCATGTCCTTAACTGCTGTGAGAGATGACCTCCTTAGCACGATGTGTTACGGTTGTCCTTTTACAGGAATCAGTTCTACTCACCTTGGTATTTCCCAGACTCCTGCCCATAGTTTGTTAAGTGGATAAATGAATAAATGTTAGGACTTCAGTAATTTCTGCAGCTAAAAATTCTTTCTAGGAAAATATTCTTTAATTGTCCTCTTCCTCTGTGATGTTTTATAACCTTTTCCCAGACAGGTAGCTGTTGATGTGACATGCAAGAGAGAATCTGGTCTCTGTGTCACCATGGGTGCCTCTGGCCTCTTCTGCTAGTTGCAGGCTTCTAGTCTCTCTCTCCCTAAATGCTTCATGCTTATTTACAGGGCAGGGTCCATTTTCTCTTTGTTCTGCTTGGTCATTCAAACATTCCTATAGTACATCACTCTTATTTCTTAGGGACATGTGCGCTAATTAAATAACACTGATTTGAGTCACAAGCAGCCCTGATCCCAAATCTCATTTCTTGCTGGGTCATGGAGCAGGCCAGGAAGGACCTAGCTAGCATCATTTGGATTCCAGTATTTTGGCAAGGCAGGTAGGGACAGGAGGAGAATTTTTAAGATACCAGTTTGGAAGGTAAAATTTTCAGAAAGCCAACCACTGATGTCCCTAGGTTAAAAAAAAAAAAAAAATCATTGTTCCATAGGTCACAAGGAAATTTCCTGATTTTTCTTCAAAGCCATAACACTTGGTTGGACAGGTTCAAACCCCATCGGCTGTGGGGGTGCTGCCAATGGGGACCCCTGACTTAGATTAGGGCTGCCTAATTCAGCTCAAGAATAGGCTTGCAGGCATTTGGACTTCCAACTTAACGGAATCCTTAATACTGCCCAAGTAGCAGTATTAAGAGATGCTGGGCTTCTCTTCCCAGCCCATGGGCCCCTAGCCAGTAGCTTACAATCACTAAACAAATTGGATGACAAATATTTACCACTTGTTAAGCAGTTGCTATATGTTAAGCGCTGTGCTAAGTGTGTTATTTTGTCTCATTTAATCCTTAGAACAACACTACAACTGTCATTGTCATCTTACAAACAAGGAATATAAGGCTGAGTGAAAAATGATTTGCCCAACATAGTGGTTGCACCAAGGGGTGATTTGGAGAACTCTGTCTGCCTATCTTAATCTCTAGCAGCTGCACTGAACCCATCTGATGTAAATTTTAAAAACCCATAGTAGTCATACTGATAGTCTTTGATCTTGATAATGAACTTTTTTTCACTCTCATTTAAAATGTGAATAGAATGATCATAGTAATAGTAATAATAATAGTTAACATTTATTGAGTGCTCAGTTTCGGGGCAATTTGTTTGAAGTTCTTAATATGTGATAACTCCTTTAAGACTCACAATAATCCCTTCAGGGAGGTACTACTATTATTTTTTTAAAGATTTTATTTGTCAGAGAGAGAGAGAGAGCACAAGCAGGGGGAGCAGCAGGCAGAGGGAGAAGCAGGCTCCCCGTTGAGCAGGGAGCCTAATGCGGGGCTCTATCCCAGGACCCTCGGATCATGACCTGAGCTGAAGCAGATGCTTAACTGACTGAACCACCCAGGCGTCCCAGGGAAGTACTATTGTTATCTTAATTTTTAGATGAAGAAAGTGAGGCATAGGAGGCTAGGCAGTTTTTACAAGGCAAACGTGACTTTTAAGTGGCAGAGCTAAAACTTGGCTATTTTTATTGATCTATAACACAGTTTAGATTAAAAAAAATGTGCTTGCTAGGAAAACTCAGCTTCAAGGCAATATCTTCAGTCTTCCCTTACAAGCAGTGTGCAGGCCCTAAATCCCTTCTGTATAGAAATTCTTAAGTCATCACTGGCTCAACATCCCATGGGTAGTAGGTGGTAAAGCTTGGATTCAAATTTGTGTTGGTCTGATTCCAAAGCAAGGGATCTTTACCACTGTACTGTTCTAGCACAAGCCAGGTTAAAACCCAAGTTCAAAGGACAAATCATAGACCTATCTGGAAATGACCTTAGAAATCATCTAACCCAGGGTTTCTCAACCTCAGCATTATTGACATTTTGGGCTGGATAAGTATTGTGGGGACTGTTCTGTTCTTAGCAGGATGTTGAACAACGTTCCTGGCCTCTACCCACTAGATACCAGATTCACCGCGCCTCCCCCAGTTGTAACAAACAAATATGTCTCCAGATGTTGACAAATGTCCTGGGAGAGAGGGGAAGGGGCAAAATCGCCCTGGTTGCCAACCACTGACTAAACCATCTCCTCATTTTACAAATGATGGAGCAGGGGTCCAAAGAAATGAAGTAATTTGGTTAAGCTAGGTAGCAGAATCCAGGTCATTCACGCAGCATCACCACGTCCCTATAATGTACAGAGCATATGTGGCACTCAGAGGAAGTAGATAAGGTCTTGCTCCTTACCATCTGGTAGGAGAGAAAAGCTACTGCACATACATCTCCAGTTGCACGACGTTGTGAAGCAATAAAGTGCTGCACAGGCAGCAAGGTGCAGAGAATACGATCTGGTGTCCTGAGCTCTGGATCTGCCACTTTTTAGCTACAGTACTTAGTTCACTAAGCCTCAGGTTCTTCATCAATGAAACGGAGGTCATGGTATTTACTCTGCCTATACCAACAGCTTCAAAAGGGGTCTGTGAACGCCTCGTGCGAACTGTAAAGCTCTTACAAACGTCAGGTGTTATTAAGATGATCAGGAATGCGATAATAATTGTGACTAAAGTCTTTCAGAACTGGGGAGAGCCGTGTAGTGGTGTCTTCTTTCCCGGACCTTCCAAGTCGAGGTCCCCTTCCTTCTGCGGGAAGGGGAGCAGGCAAAGAGCCCTCTTCCACAGAGCTCCTCTTTCCTCGGCTGGAACCAGCGCGGCCACCTGGGCGAACTCAGGTCACAGCTTCGCAAGATTAGCCCTCCCCGGCCCTTGGGCCTCTCAAGCCCCGCCCGCCCTGGGCTGTGGCCCCGCCCCTAAAGCGCAGACTCCGCCTCCTCCGCGCGGGCCGGCACTCCCGCAGCACGGCGCCTCCAGGACAAGCCCTCGCCCGGGCCGGAGATTCCCGAACTCCCCCGATCTCTTCCCGGCCTCCCTCGGACGCCCGGAGCGGAGGCGGCGGAGATTGCCGAGGGGCGCTGGCCCCGCCCCCGCCGCCCCCGCCCCGCCACAGCCTCCCGCGCGGGCAGGAGTCCCAGATCCCGGTCCCTCCCTCCTCCTTTCTCTCCGCCCGCCTTCCCGGGGCTGCCACAGTGGCGGGTCGGAGGCTCCCGGCCAGTCAGCTCGTTCCGGCCCCGAGCCCCTCCTACCCCCCCAAACAAACAGCCCTCCCCACTCCTCTGGAGCCCGGACCGCCCCCTTCCTCCCTCGGCCCGGCGTGTGGCGAGGGACAGTGTGAAGGAGCGAGCGCGGGCCGGCGGGCGAGCTCCGTGAGTGCGAGAGGCGGGGCGCGCGGCGGGCCGGGCCGGGCCGGGGTCGCGTGTGCGCGTGGGGGCGCGAGCGAGTGCCCGTCGCGACCCGCCGGCCGCCGCGAGCGAGCCGCCGGCGAGCGACGAGCGGCCACCGCCAGCCGCTGAGGGGCGCCGGGCCCGCGCGCGCGCACGCACGCACGCACGCGGGGGCGGGGGCAGGCGCGCGCCCGCCTGTCGCGACAGTCGGGGCCGAGGCCCAGGGGGAGGTGGCCTGTCGCGGGTCGCCCGGCTCCCGGAGGCGAGGGGGGCGCGGGCGGATGGCGGAAGGCGCCCAGCCGCAGCAGCCGCCTCAGCTCGGGCCCGGCGCCGCTGCCCGGGGGATGAAGCGGGAGTCGGAGCTGGAGCTGCCGGTGCCCGGAGGGGGAGGAGACGGAGCCGAGCCCGGCCTGAGCAAGCGGCCGCGCACCGAGGAGGCGGTGGCCGACGGCGGCGGCGGGATGCAGGTGACCGCGCGGGACGGCGCCCGGTTACGGCGGGGGTGCGGCGCGGGGGCCGCGAGGGCGGCGGAGGCCGGGAGGGGGAGGGCCTCCGGGGGTCCTGGCTTGGGGGTGGGAGGGGGCCGGTCGGGGCCTGGTTGGGAAGGTGGGGCGGGCTCCCCCGGCTTGGAGGCGAAGGGTGCGGGAGGAGCCCGGTGTGCCCAAGAGGGTCCCGATTCCTGAGGGGGCGGGGGTCCCGACGCGTGAATAGGTTTTGGCGGGGGGGATCGAACATGGTTGAGGTGGATTCCATTTCTTCCGACCCTTCTTCAGTTCCTTGGGGTGGAGTGGAAGCCGGGAGATCCTGGGTCTGTAGCCCAGAGAGCTGCTGCACTGAGTCGAGGACTGGGGGTGGGGGGGTGGCAGTGGTGGGAAACCTCCCAAGAAGGAGTACCTTTTTGGCAGCTCTAGACACACGCGGGGATGGGGAAGGGGAGCAGCATTATAAAGGAGGGGAGTGGAAAGCGAGAAACCTCCTCGAGAGCCCAAAGGGGATGTGGCTTAGCTTGTGGGTTCAATCAGTTACACAAGGAGTGTGGGAAGTACCAGGAGTTCGGTAGTGGTGTGGGGACACCGTGGTGCTCGGTCTCATTAACTTTGTGGAGCATGCTAATGAGTCTGGAGAGAGACCCAGGACATGCCCCTCCTTACTTTGCCAGTTGCTTCTCACACGGCCGAGGATACCGACCCGCTCTTTAAGGTCCTGGGATATAAAAGACAATTTGTAGGGCTGTTGGGAGACTGGATTCTGAGTTGTGGACTCAAGGATAAGCTGGTTGATTTGGGTAGGGAGGGGGAAAGGTAGTGATGATGTCAGTTGGCTTTGTAGTTTGAAGAAGAGCTGAAACCTTCGGACCTTTTAGGATTTGGTCTCTGTTCAGAAAATAGTTGCTGTGAAATGGTGGAGCTCACATATCAGCAATTGTTTAGAGACCTGCCTAATTCTCCTAGAATCATAGAATGTTAGAGATAGAAGGGACCAGAGACAACATCTTTTCAGGGGTTCTTCATCTGGATAGACCTGGAAGATTTTTTTTTTTTAATATTTTTTTATTTGACAGAGTGAGACACAGCGAGAGAGGGAACACAAGCAGGGGGAGTGGGAGAGGGAGAAGCAGGCTTCCCGCTGAGCAGGAGCCTGACGCGGGGCTCGATCCCAGGACCCTGGGATCATGACCTGAGCCGAAGGCAGACGCTTAACAACTGAGCCACCCAGGCGCCCCTAGACCTGGAAGATTCTTATGTTGAACAGTTTACATGTACTTTTTGGTGGTGGGGGGGAAGTCAGTAGTTTTTGTCTTTGTGGGTTTTTCTTTTTGTTTTGTTTTTTGGAGGGGATTCAAGTCTCAAAATGTTTTAACCACCACCTTTTAGAGATGGGGGCTCAAAAGTCCAGAGAAGACTAGTGACTTGCCTAAGGCCACCCAGTTAGCTGGTAGCAAAACTAGAACTAGAAGCCTAGTCTTCTAATTCCTATTCCTGTGCTCTCTCCATTACACCACTCTTGGAAATCCCTGCAGTGCTAAAAGACTTCCTGTGCTCTGCTCCCAGCTTTTCAAGGCTCTGCCTGACTTCCTGTGTTAGAGACCGAGCTGTATTTAAGCGTGGCATATTTGCTGTGTGCTTATGGGTCTCCTTTGCAGAGGCCACTCAGTTACTTGTGTTGATTTGGGTAAAGTGACCCTCTTGCTGTTTATTTTTGAATTCTTTTGTTTTGTTTGCCTGCTTTTGTTCTCCATCAGAACTCTTGTCAGGCAGAGGGATTGTGAGTAGTAAAAGCTCAGGGCCATGGAAAAAATATTGAGGAACATGGGGAGACTTGAGGTGAGGTGGATTAACATTGGCTGATCAGAAGAGGTAACTGGATGTGGGTGCTGGTGAGCACTGTCTGCTTGGTGTGTGTGTGTAAATCTGTGTATGTCTGTATTCATTCATTGTTTCTCTCAATCACGGTTAACAGACACCCCCCTCCCTTTCCTCTCCTTCTCCTCCTGGGGCCCATTATTTGCTGGTTGCCTTCAAATTGGCTAAGGATAGTAGTATTTGGAAATAGAGCAGTGTATAGGGACTTTGGAGTATGCAGAGGAAGGAGTGGATGAGGCCCTTTGGGTACAAATGGGCAACTTAGAACTATCCCACAGAGAATCTTTTTCTCACTCTGTGTATTTGTGGATCTTTATTTATTTTTCAGGTTATGCATTCTCATTGCTGTAGTTCTGGCACACCATGTCACACAGGTATTCAAATCATCATTGATCTAGCCTCCTGCCTTCAACTAGCTATATGCTTCTGGGAAAATCCCTTCTTTTGGGGGCCTCTGTTTCCTTAGTTGTAAAGTAAAGGGTTTGTACAGGATGATTTCTAAATCATCTTCTAAAAAATATATCAAGTTCCCTGACCTTAAGGTGTTTGGTGTTTCCAGTCTGGGTGGAGAGACAAAAATGGGTGAAAAATTAAAAAAAGAGCACGCATGTGTATATGTGTGGTTGTGTGGTTGTGTGTGTGTGTGTGTGTGTGTGTGTGTGTGTGTGTGTGTAAGTTCCAGAGGAACAGGAGCGGAGATACCATGGGGTGGATGCATGTCACAAGTCACTGCATAATTTAGAGCCAAAGTATGCTGAGGATTTGTGCCATTGGGTCCAGAAGAAGGAGATGGTCATTCCTGCTGAAATGGTCAAGGAAGGCTTAATGGGAAGGTTGAAATTTGAGGTATAATCTGAGTAAAGGAGAAGTAATGTTTCTGAAAAGATGAAACTTAACACTGGGTGACCCACACTTCTAGTGCTTTGCTATGTCCTTCTGATAATAACGGTAGGATATTTAATACTCATTTAACTAATGTTTATTGAGCAGCTGCCATGTGCCAGGCTCTGTTTTAGAGCCTAGGAGACATGGCAATAAACAAAGACTACGCTCTCATGTAACTAATAATCTCATGGAAAGAGACAGTAAAGAAATCAACTGTTATTAGGGGGTGGTAAGTGCCAAGAAAAAGTATAAAGCAGGGAGAGGGATGGAGAGTGAAGATGGTTAGGAAAGGCCTCTCTGATGGGTTACCTTAGAATGAAGTGAAGGAGGGAATGGATCGTTCAGATAATCTGAGGGAAAGGGGTTTAAGTCGAGGAACTGTGGGTGCAGGGGCATTGAGAAAGAAGTGCACTTGATATGTTTGAGAACAAGAGGCCAGTGGGGCTGGAGCAGAAGGAGCAGGGGAGAGACAGTCTTAGGAGATGATCCTGGCTGGGTAGAAATGCCTGTAGGCCCTATGCAAATAGGCACTTAAAAAAATCTAGAGTAGCGGATGCCTGGGTGGCTCAATTGTTAAGCGTCTGCCTTCGGCTTAGGTCATGGACCCAGGGTCCTGGGATCGAGTTCCACATTGGGCTCCCTGCTTGGCAGGAAGCCTGCTTCTCCCTCTCCCACTCGCCCTGCTTGTGTTCCCTCTCTCGCTGTCTCTCTGTCTGTCAAATAAATAAATAAAATCTTAAAAAAAAAAATCTAGAGTAGCCAACCTTTTTAGTATAAGGGTTGGTTTTAAAGCACATGTTTTTTGTTTTTTGTTTTCTTATAGCTTAACATAAATGGAGTTTTTCTGAGGTCATAGCTCCTTCTAGGAAGCCTTTGCTGACAACTTCGTTCATACCAGTCAGACTCTCCTCTGGCCTCCTCTTATATTGATGCTTAATTATGCATCATCTTGTGTTGTTTTATTCTTGTTTCCCTAGTGAGACTGTAAGCTTCTAGAAGACAAACTATATTTTCTTTGTTCTATCCTTTGTAATACCTAACAGGTTTAGGTACATAGTAAGTGCTCAGTGCCTGTGAAGTTGAAATTTACTTTTCACAAATGATTAAGTGATGGAAAAAATCATGAAATTCAGGGGTGAGAGTTTATGAAATTCTTCAATCTTCTCTGTGTCAAAGGATTAACCTTTTTTACAGAAAGAAGTCCTTTCCTGGGGTTAATTTCCCAAGGCTGCTTACTAAATGGAACTACAACGCGAAGCTATAGATTTCAAAGCTGAACCCTGTTGAGTTACAGCCAGGAAGCTTTTGGAGTAAATCATTACTTCCCAAAGCAGGGCAGAGAGGACATGAGAGAGTCTGTGGTGCTTATGTTATAATCCTTTGGCTAAGAAGGAACTATGGGGGACAGAGAGGAAGGATTGTGCCTTTCAAGGGCAGTATCCAGATGCCTTATGTGGACAGAAGAGGGGTTAGCACAGCCCTGAGAACAGTATAGAAATAGAGAACCCTGAGCGGAGGAGGAGGGAAGAGACAGATTCAACCTGAAAATTGAAATATGGTTTGAGAAATGTAGTTAGTTGTTAAAGAGGGTGCTGGGAATACTGTACTCTAACCTGGTGGAAAGTTAAATGAGTTACATCTATAGGTATGGGGGGTTCATTTCACTGTAAGCAAGTCTGATATGTGGGAAACTTGGGCTTTATAAAAGATACTGGGGAGTGAATTCTTTCGGTCAGCTCTTCTAGTGAATATAAACAATTTGATGATCAAAAATTCAGTTTTTGTGTGACTTTCTAGGAACTTAGCTGCTGTATAAATAAGGCAAAGTGCACCTTAATTATTACTTCTGGCTTTCAGCAGAATTCTTTATGGCAGTGAAATGTTGGTATGTGATTATTATATGGCCAGCTAACTGCTTCTGACCATCGAGTCATAAATCCAGTTTAGTTAAGTGGGTTCAGCAGTCGTTATTCTGGTAGTAGGAAAGCTTTCTTTCTGGTCTTAGGGCAGAGGTTCCAGGTAGCCTGTGATTTCTATGTGTATGCTTCATTTCTTGTAATAGTTTATCTTCGCATTTGCTTGTTTCTTTCCTACTAGGTGGATGTCTCTTTGGATTCTCATTTGGGTGTTTGGTGCTGATGCTGAACATGGTGCTACCATTTGAGTAGAGCTGTAAAAATAATGTGCTTTCCTTCCAAGTAATTTCACGAACGATGTCT